ATTGCATCACGACTCCTTTCTGACAAGAAAAATTACTACACGAACCCAGGATGGGGGACTGAAGCCTGAGCCTCACCGCCCCACATGGGGGCAAAAGCCAAAAAGCCCCCCGCCCAGGGTGGGGAGCCAAAGCAGAAGCCCAAGGGCATCAGCCCCAGGTGAGGGGGCCTGAAACTTGAGCCCCACCACACAGGGCTAATGCCCTTGGGATTCAGCCCCGAGGAGTGGGGCTTGGACTTTGGCCCCAGGCCCAAGCAAGTTTTATGCCAGCCCTGGTGTCCCCATTAAAATGGGGTTGCGACACACAGTTTGAAATCTGCTGCTTTAAATTATTCCATACAAGGTTCCATATTTTACATTCACATCAGGGAAGATTCACACATCACATTCTTAACACTTTACAGGAAGATTGTGCATTTAAGGTCTGATCTGACTCCCACGGACCTCTACGGTAGGCAGATCAGGCCCTTTGTCCTGGCTTGGGGCAGTTTTTATAGTAAGGCTGCAAGTATAAAACCAAATGGAAGTTAAGTGCACCCACAGATTTCTCTCACACGGTTTACAAAGGTCAGATTCCCTGACAAGGGAGAAGACAGGAATTAGTGTCTGTCAAAGAGACATCAACCTTCTCCATTCTGTTCTACCCCTCCCTGACCCTTCTCAAAAAAGCCACAACAAAAAATTAACATGAGAAAATTTGATCTAATTATCATTTCATTCTATTTAATGTTTGAATATCAGACTATACTTAAAAATATTTACATGCATTACAGTGACTAGTCATATCCAACATCAAAATAAGTTACATCAGATAATGAATTTGTTCATAGTCTTCTACATATAAAGAAAATCTTGAACAAAAGTATTTGCCACTATAAATCCTTGCAGATTACTCCACAAGAAATGCCATAATTTTTCTGAGACGATGTCTTTCAGTTTGACTGGAGAGAGACTGAAACATTCTTCCCAAGTTAAAACTGGCTGTTCAGACCATGAATTTAAGATACCAACAAAAAAGTCATAGCAACAACATGGCTAGCAGGCCCTACCTATCAAAATGCTTTATTCGTTGTATTCTCACTCAAGCTGCCCTTATAAATAAAATGCATAGTAAATTGCATCAGGCAACTGATAAGCTCTCCCTCAAGGGAGCTACAGAATGAACATTTGAAAAGAATGCAATTACTTGGAACAGACTCTTAGTAAACAAGCAATGAATTTGACAAACAATGGAACATCAATTTTTAAAAAGTCTGTCTTAGAAATGAAGTCTTTTAAATGTGTAATCACAGCTATAATTAAACAATTACAAAATATCATATTTACAAAGTAGTAATTTTCTAAGGACTGAGTGATCAATGTTTAAAACTTGAGTTTACAGGAAAGAAGTTACAAGTAAACTGACAACAGCTGATATGCATGAGAACCTTGTGCCAATGGAAATTTATATGACTGTGGTTTCAGTCCTCAAAATGTAAAATCCATACCCCTTTCTCCTTTATGAGTTACGGTAACAGGTGTAAAGAAACATGCCAGAAAGCTAACTTTGATCTAAAATTAAACTCCCATGTTACTAAGAGCTATATTTAGTGGTTATAGAATATCAGCAGGATTAACAGATGAAAAGTACTGCCCCCTGGTGACATTCAAAGTTGAAGCTAACAAACATAAGATTTGTTTTGCATTAAGTAATTGGCAATTACCCATTTTAGATCAGGGGGCCTGTGTGTCAGGGACATATCTTTGTCCATCCCTCTGAAAATCCCCCTCCCCCCAAGTTTGGCAAAGTTATAAGTCTTTGAAATAACTGCAGTTCACACATGATCAGACTTAATAGTGTTGACAGAGAAAATCTCTTAAGGTTCCATCCACACAGCAAGCTTCAGCTCATGGCGGAGCAGGATTTTCCCTGCAATGGCAGCTCTGAGCTGTTGAGGACTGGGCCAGGTCTGGGTCCTGAGAACAGGGGGACAGCATTTCCTGTACTTTTTGTGCCCCTTAGCTGATGCCCAGGAAGGAGAGACGAAGCTGCTGGATTCAAATGCAAAGCGGACAAGAGACAGGGTGTTTTTTTTTGGAGGGAAGAGAAGGGAAAAAGAAAGGGGGAGTGGGACTGGTTGGGTATTAGACTGGGAACTGGGTAGGAGGAGACATATGAGGAGAAGCCAGGATACAGGCGAAGAACTGATAAATGGCTGGGTAAAGAGAACAGGAAACCTGATTTGACTAGGAGCCCAGGGACCGAAACAAGAACTATGCTCCAATGGAGATGGAGAACGGGAAATGAGAAAGGGGCAAGAGGGAAGATGGGATGACACTGAGACAAGAAGCCTAAGGAGCCCAAAGTGAAATGGCTTGGTGAAGAGAATGGCAATAAGACAGGTTGGAAGGGACAGGGAAGAAGACTCTGTGCCTAGTACAGTACATTCCCCTTCAGAGCCTTGAATGGAACCTAAAATTTCCCGAGTCTCACTATTCCTTTGTCAGCAAACATCTGTGAAAAGTCTCTGGCAAAGGCTCTCTCTCATCCCCATCTAGTACCAGTCTACCCAAGGATAACAGCCTATTAGTTACTGTAACAGCTCAAGTGGCAGAAGTCTGTATGTTGGATCTAAAGGATCGGCCCTGCTACGTGACAAAATAAGTTTTTTCAGTTGGCTTTTTAGAAAACCTAGGAAACTGCGTACACACAAAAAAAGTATGTTCAGAATGCTTAGGTTGCAAAGTCAAACAATCAAATATTAGGAAATGCCAGAATTTAGGTTGCCAGTGCAACCTCAGTCTCGCCCTCTTGTGCACTTGCATTATGATACAGTCTTTAATTATATGATCACATACTACTTTTTCCTCCACAAAACCTCTGCCTCATTCACTGCACAGGACGGACCTGCTTTGGGGATAAATCAGGGTTGCAGATGCAAGGACGCTGCTGTCTGTGAGACTCCTGCTTCATTTGTTACAGAAATTGGAAGGTGTATAGTGAATGAGGCAGGGGATTGAAGGAAGAAAAAGGACAGTCTCTCACGTAAGACAGCTTAATGCTACCCTGGAGAAATGGATTCTATCCTTGCCCCAGCATAGAGTTCCTACGTGATGCCAGGCATGTCACAAACTTTTCACAGGCTTTTCACTAACTGTATGTTCTTCATTTTCTGGGTGTCTGACTTGAGACCCTGGGGTCTAATTTGCAGAAACACTGGGCTCTTGCAGCTGAAGTCTATGGAAGCCATGCCTAAATATATAAAGTGCTTTACAACCTTAAGTACTTTTGAAATGTCTCAAATTGGGCTCCAAACGTAGTGGATACTTTTGACCATAACCTCTGTGCCTCAAAGCTCCATCTGTAATACGGGGATAATACTATCCCCTCACCTCGTAGGGGTATTGTGAAGATTAATTAGTATTTGTGAAGCACTCAGATATTACAATGATAAGTACCATAGAAGAGGAAATTAATAATACTGCTTTTAGAACAGGGTTTGAATAATGGGACTAAATGAATTCTGGGGCCACACACTGAACTATGAAGGTAACAAAATACCGAATAGCTGCTCATTGAGCACCATCCATTCTGTGCACTGAATGAGGCAGGGGATTTGTGGAAAAATAGAATATGGGCTCACGTAATTAAAGATTTATCATAGGGCATACCCACAACAGGGACAAATTAAGGTTCCAAAGACAACCTTAATTCTGCCATTTCCTAATTTATGAGTGCTTGACTTTGCAACCTTAATAATGTTCTTTTAACCTATTTTTTGTGTGTGTAACTCTCTCTCACACCCCGCCCCCCCGCAGACCCCATCCAGGAGACTGTATGCCAATTTGCCGCCTAGACTGAATTTTTATAGCCTTTCCTACCTCCTGGGGAAGAGCACCCAGTCATGGCTGCTACATGAGGCAGGCAGAGCTCTTCCTCTCAGGAGCTGACACAAAATTTTGGGAAAAGAGGGGAAAGAAGCAGCAGTCAGTACCTTTTTCACAAGGAGAGAGGGCAACAGCAGAGCTGCTAAGCTTATTCTCCGAACTCCTCCCCTTCTTGTGAAAAACAGGTCAGTCTGCTCTCTGCTTTGCTTTCCTTTCGTCCCATCTTCTTTGCTCCAACATTAAGCCTAGGAAGGAGAAGAGATGATGGAACCTTAAAATTGTTTGCAAAGCTGTTGTAGGTGTTGTGCACACACTGGAGGTGGGCAGGGGAGTTAACCCCCCATATCTTATTTTAAATCTTTTTCAGGTCTGATCATTTTTGAAATTAACACTAATGCATGTGCAGGAGAGGAAAGGAAAAGGAACAGGACAGAAAGTGACGAGCAAGAGTGTGGGATTAACTTTTCCCCTTAAAGAAAAGACAGCTAAAATAGAAACACTTTTAATATTACTCCAGTTCTTGTAGTTACCACAGGGTTGTTATGTGATCACAAATGGAAGGGGAGGTGATTCAGAAGACAATTTCATGGAATTTATTAGGGATTCAGGACAAATTTGTGTGTGGATAATTGCAAAATTTCATCTCTTTCATTTTTTGTAGGTCTACGCCATGATTATTTTCTTGCAATCCTTGAACTCCCCCAGTTCTACATAATATTTCAGGAATTATTGTTAGAGTTCAGAAAGTTCAGAGAACCCTTATCACCCCATTATAAGTATCATCTTAACTAGCCAATTTAAATAGACTCAGACTTTAAGGTCTATGTATTCTTCTTCTACAAATATTACTATAACATATTTTTAGGTTCAGAAATCCTGGAACATTGAGAAATACAAATATACCAGAAAAATACTCTTCCTGAGACCATTTATAAAGATGGGTAAAGTTTGGAGATTGAGCCAAGTGACATGCAATTATACTAAGCCAGATAATGGGGTAAAACTGAATTATGTAGAGATGATGGTCCATTTTCTGTTCAGTATATTTCTGTTTATTGGGTCTTTGGTGTTTTTTTTTACCATCTGGTTGATCATGTTAAGAATGATAAAAGTATAAAGATAGAAGAACTCACCAATATCATTTGCTAGGGAAGAAGGATCAGATGCCCCAAGGGTTGCCTCAAATTCCTCCTGAAGACGATAAGCTCTTTGAAGCAGGGATTCAAGCTTATGAATGAATTCAGCACTAATGATATCCTGCAAGCAAAATTAAATTATACTGTACTTAACAGAAAATCACATTTCTTTCTAAACTACTTCTTTTCAAAACTCTAAAAATATTAAGCCTTCAAAGAGTTCACAGTACCCCATTAACTACACAGTAAAAAAGTTCAGACATTATCAAAGAGCTCAGGCATCCAAAATACTTGCTCTACTGGGTACAGACACACCTTATTAGGTATAAGTAAAATAAAACCAGCATTTAAAACAAAAATCTTTGTAAGATGAGTGAAATCATCATTCCTGATATTTACTGCACTAGTGATGATGAACGCCATGGTGTTTGAAATATGTGTGCATGCTTTACTATCAGGCATTTTAGGACAGAATTTTATGGGCAAGGGGAACAAAGTTTAATTTCATTACATTGTGCATGTTCACCAATTAGTTCTGCCTCCCAGGAGCCATTTGTACTGAGTTCCTATCCCATCTCAGAGTTTTTCTTTTAACTTCGGGAGGAAGTGACAAATGGGTGCGCTGCAGAGAACTGGTTCAGGGAACGCCAATGGACCTCTGATTGTGTGGTGCTTTGATAATATCCTCCAGGAGGAATGCTAATGGAGCAACAATTGCCTATATGGCTAAAAACAGGCTAATGCTAGGGGGAAAGGGTGAGGTGGAGGGAAAAAAAAAAGAAAAAGTGCTCCAACTGCAGGTATTCAGAAGAAGTTTCAGCAGCTGCAGTAGAAGCTAAGCTCTGTTACTCAAATATTTTCAGTCATTTGGCTATGCTACAACTATATACTAATATGAGAGAGTATGTAATACTCACTTCTACACTCTCTTCTGCAATGGCATCTCCTGCTCCTAGTTTGATGGAACTACAATTTGCTTCATCTTCAGCCTGTCTGCTACGGAAAGTCAGTGCCTGCTCCCATCGACGTAGTGCCTCTTCAAAAAGCTCCATACCTTCAGTAGATCATGAACACTTCCATTACATCAACAGAAATCCTCTGCATTCTTTTATGTGTCACTGTCCACAACTAACCACACACAAAATAAGATTATAGTACATGTGGAAATATTGTTTTAATTAAATTACTAGCAATTCCAACGTTATTTCCTTAAGTTCATGACAAGAGGTAATTTATGATTAAAGCAAAGGAGTTCAGTAAGAATCTCTCTCCTACTTACTTACAGGATTTTATATTAACTACCAATCTGTTAATGTAATGAACATATATTGTCAACTTTTCATCTTTTAAAAAATTGCATGTGTCATAACAGGGAAAGATTTCCTTTTCTAAATTCATCAAAATTAATGCTGGGTGAACTTTTTGGCTGAACTTTTTTAAGCCAAAAAAAAAAAAATGCAGATTTGGTGAGGATGAAATATTTCATGAATGTGCATTCTTCTTGCCAAACTATGTCAACAATCTGTTTATCGGCTTTAGGTAAAATAAGAATTCATGGATATCTGTATATTGGAGGTATTTTGTCTAGCATAAGTAAAAAGATCAAGGTTTTAGGCGACCTTGGTAGCATATCATGATAATACTATGAAGGAGTCACTTTATTATAAATCAGGGTAATCTGTTCAAATTTTAAAGCATCTGAAAGCGGCTGGCAAAAACACAGTACTGCACCATACCACATATTATTATAACCTACCCATCAAATATAAATTTTCAGGTGTGGTCACTGGAATATTGACAAGCTTAATATCTTCATCTGCTTTGTCCCAGGAACTGGAATTGGCACAAGCACAACTATGGGAAGAGGTGACACTTTGGACCTAAAAAAGTGAGGTGCATTGTTAAACGAAGGGTACTTTAATAATCACTATTTCCTGGTGCAGTGCACTAAATAGCCCTGATTACAACTAGTTACTGTAACAGATTACATTTCAAAAAATATAACCAAGTATTGGCTCTTTTCAGGCCAAGAGTAATGTTAATTGCTTTTCATGACACCACACTCAAGTATTAACAACGATATAATGGAAGTGTTAATGTTCAGTCTCACTGGGAAATTCAAATTCATAATAAAAATTAATCAGTAATAATTACTATAACAAGAATATAATCAGCAATTTGTAATGGTTAGGTTTCAAAACTAAGTTTGACACCTGATTGTAAAACCATATGAAAAACAAGTTTAAAAAAATAAATCTTGCTCTCTAGTCTTGTGTTTTATTGGATATTTTACAGCTTCATCAGGCACTATACAGTGAAAAAAATTCCACTCTGATCTTTCTTTACCACCTAGAAGAAATGTGATCTCCAGGTACACTCGTTCTAGGGCATGGAATCTTGAGCGGTGGTTGAGGCCCTAGTACTAGATAACAGCAGGGTGCCACCTGATGGCTCCAGACAGGTGAAAGGGTAGCGGGAAGGTGCAGGATCCAAACAGGGCCTCATGGAGAGCTCCATAACTTGTCCCCGGAACCTGAACTAACGAGATTCCCTTTGTGTACCAGGCAAAGTGCAGCAGATGCTGCACTTCGAGGGGACATGAGGTTCCCCGAAGACTTACAGGAAGCTCTCTCACGGGGTTGCTCACAGCGAGGACCCGGGGGGGGGGGGGGCAGGCAAGCAAGGCTTAATGCCTGGATCTTTGGGCATAATAGATGCCCAAAATGATGGGGGAACAAAGGATGGGGAACCCTCTTCCCCCCCGCCCCGATTCCCAACTGACTAACACTAAAAAAATAAAAACTATTTACAATATTTACAGATTCAGCAGCAGAATGCTGAAGAGTAGAAAATGGACACAGGAGTTTCCATCCCAATGAGTCCCAGACAGCAAGCAGCAGAAAAGGAATTGGAAAGGTGGTCAGTCTGCGCTACCCTTTAGGTCTTCATTCAGAAGCACAAGGAGGTGCAGGGTGCAGACCAACTGACATTGCTATTAAAGAATTTCTGGTCCCGGGGGCATGCACACCCACAGTGAATACCCATAGAGATCAGCACTCAGAGAAGAACAAGTCCTCTTCTCACTGCCCTGAGCTACCCAACACCAGGTCTGTATGACCTCCTCTGAGCTGTGCTAGCACAAAAAAAGTAAAAGACATGTCCAGAGGGAGATATACACAGTAAATGGAGGATTTATGAGAGCTCCTCCTCCACCTTCAAAGCTGTTCTAATGTGGAACTTACCTTGCTCCTACATAAAAGATAAGCTAACCTTCACCATGCATGCGTCTTGCTGGCTGTGCAGCCCATACAGCCAGACAATTTCAGCTCAAGAGAATTGTGTGCATTCACTGTAGGCAGTGAAAATTAAAGTTCAGCAGTTTATTCAGTTTAGTGTATAACAGATCCTTAAGAATAGCTAATACTTACCGAAGCCAAACTTTGTACTGAACCAGAATATTTACTGAAAAGTCCTCCATTTGCATAAACACAAGACTGAGATCCTTTTTCTTTGGCTGAATTCAAAGAAAGAGTCAAGTTTTGTCTGCTACTGGAACAACTGGAACCTAATAAACAGAGAGACTAACGTTAAAAGCTTCTGCAACCAGAAACATTTATTATATCAGCAAGTGTTCAGCCCTGAATTTTATCTAAATATTCACGGTGTCACATAAGAACTTTAATGACTAATCTTATCTTCCCACTTTGATGTTTATATATAAAAGTATCAAAATACCTGCAAGAATGAGCACATTATTAAAACAATTTGCTCTAAAAGATATCAAAAACACTTCTATCAATAATCAAAATTTATCTTCAGAACTGTTGAAAACAGTAACTCTCAATAGGCTTTCGATTAAAAGATTTTATTTGCAGAGATTATAATTAAAACATTGGCTTTCAGAGCAATGCCTGCCTCAGTTATTATAGGGTTCTAATTTTAGTTTTTACACTTGTCTATTTTTCTATTTTCTTTAAATACCTTAGAATTACAAACACACAGTTTCCTTATTTCCAAAACTAAAGAAAAATCTGTCTTGAGTTTGATTACATAGTATTTAAGGTTTATGTAAGAGAAGAAAAAAGGCATCTTTGGTTCTCTCATGTACCTTTTTCTGATGCAGCTGTTTTAGTACATTCTAATACAAGATGGCCTGGCTCCCATGGTGACACTTTTGTGTTTTTCTTTCCACGTTTTCTTTTAAAATGATGTGCTAGAAAAATTACAGATACTGCACTCACTGCTGTTACTACAAACAGCTTCTTCAACCCAGGGGAAAGTTTTACCTGAAAAGAAATCATGACTATGTCATCATTGAAAGTTAACACACGCTCTAATTCAGGCATGGCTCCTAAGTCCTTCTCCCGTCCACACACACAACCCCTTCAACTGAGAGCTGTGGTGCTTTCAACCAAAGCTACCTGGAGATAACCCACCAGCTTTGCAATGAAGACAGTCCAAATCACTTGTGTGCCGACAGTCCATCAATGCCCTCCCACAATTCCCCCTGCGTGCCCTTCCACAATTCACTGGGAAAGAATCAGAGTAGCTCAACTTACTGCTGCACAACGAACCATAGGATATGCCCCCAGATGACTTAATGACACACATGGGTGAGTTACTCCTGGGGGAATTCTGCATCACTGCACATGCCCAGAATTCATGGTCCCCGCAGAAAAATGACTTCTGACACAGAAGTAAAGAGAAGGCGCAAGAGTGATCACGTGTCCCTCCCCGGCAGCGAAGGCAGGTTGGTTTGGGCACCCAGAGCAGCCAGTAGAGACTTAAATCATCGTCAGGGTGAAGGGGGGATCACTCTGTCCCTATAGCTTATTATTGCGGCACGCTTGGTGTGGCGGAGCAGGGCTTCAGGGCGTTTCTGAGGTAGGCAGGCATGGGGCAGGCTCTGTCCCCTCAGTCAGAGCGCAATACAGCAGCCTGCTTGCTTAGTGACTTGTTCCCATTGTCTTTGTGAATTCCCCCAGGAATATAAAACATGGGTATAAGTTTTAAGGCTCCTTTACATTGCCGGAGTGGTATAAAGGACAGTATAGCCTTATAAATGCTTATGGTGTTTTAGTGATTAGAACTGGTCTAAATTTTTGGACTGAAAAAATGTGCTCCATTAACTGCTTGCTACTGACCTTTCTGGAGATGGTCAGTAGCCAGTATAAATTGTGAGCTTGATTCCCCGGCCCTCACTTGCTCTTCAGTTGCCTACGATGTAGCACTGAGCATATGGCTGCATATATTTGTTGACTAATAACTAGAAATAAAGGGTCAAACCTAGCTACATTACTATTAGCCAAGGGGGACTGGGGATTTCCTCCAATGCTCCCCACTCTCGTTCTCCATCCATTGTATTGTAGTTTAAATAAATTACCGAAATAATTGAAACCATTTTCAATTATACCATAAAAGAGAGATTATACTGTGTTATAATATATATGCAGAATTTTGTATTTTTTGGTGCAGAATTCCCCCAGTAGTGAGTGCAGCACCAGTGAAGACACAGTAAGTCAGTTGTGGGCTTTGCAATGTGGCTTCTCACACCAGAAGTAGGCAATTCTGGGTGCCAGTCACCTCAGCGAAATCTTCACTAAAGATGTACCCCAAGAGTTGGGATCTTTTTAAAGCATTATTAAAATTTTACTAACTACCTAAGGAATTGACACTGAAACTTTCAGGTAAACATTTTTAAATATCAGTAACTGTCAGATCCCATAGCTACTTTCCAAATTATTTATCCAACAGCTTTAAAAACAAAGAAACAAAAAAACCATGAGGAACAGCAAAGACCTCAATGGACTAACGTTTTTTGGATCAGTATCCCTCCTCTTTCCACAATTTAAGAAACATAATTTATTCCTTTTTTTTTTAGTTTGAAACACATGTGCTTACACTTTGTATTTGGCTAGCAGAGTGATATTTTACTTCTACATTTTTGTCTGGATATAAGCCACTTTCATTTGAAATTTTAACATGAAGTTTTATGGAAAACCTGACATTATAAATGCACAATAAAGCACAATTCTGCATTGGCAAAGAAAAACTAGGTGATTAAATATAATAGCCTCAGACTGAGTCTCAGTCTCTAACATCTATGAATTTCTTCTGTGAATCTCTCTATATAATGTGATAAACAGTAAAGTTCAGATACCAATAAGCAACACTTTAAATATGCAACTACTGGAATTAAAAATATTAACAAAACTTTGAAAATCTGAAGTGGCAAACAGTTCAGGAAAGTAAAGAAAAAAATTTAAATGGAAAATGAGGTGTTAGATCATAAGTAGGGGATTTATGCTGTTTTGGTGGTAGAGAGCAGAAAACAGAAACCCACTTTGGGGCTCCCTCAGAGGGTGGGCATAGTGGTTTTACAGCATGCCCCTCCCTCAGAATAAGGGCATGGCTGGAATATCTCAGCTGTCTGGCAATCCTCAGCTGTAGATTGCTTGGAGATATAATTAGCCAAGTGTAATTTAAAGAAACCCTGAGGTTGCAAATTACACTTCAGGTAAGGCCAGCCTTTAGCCAACCACAGGGTAAGACAGCTGGAAAGGGTCTAGAGCCACCTCTGCCCCCTCATCCGAACCCTCACAGTGTATCATGGCCAGAGCTGTAGATCTAGTCCAAGATTGAAAACACAAGTTTATATAAACACTAAGGCTGTCAATTAGTTGCAGTTAACTCACGTGATTAAAAAAATTAATCATGATTAATTGCAGTTTTAATTGCGCTGTTAAACAGAATACCAATCGAAATTTGTTAAATATTTTGGATGTTTTTCTACATTTTCAGATACATTGATTTCAATTACAACACAGAATGCAAGAGTGTACAGTACTCAATTTATATTATTTTTATTACAAATATTTGCAACGTAAAAATGATAAAGAAATAGCATTTTCCAATTCACCTCATACAAGTACCGTAGTGCACGCTCTTTGTCATGAAAGCGCAATTTACAAATGTAGATTTTTGTTGTTGTTACCTAACTGCACTCAAAAACAAAACAATGTAACACTTTAGAGCCTACAAGTCCACTCAGTCCTACTTCTTCTTCAGCCAATCGCTCAGACAAACAATTTTTTTACATTTGCAGGAAATACTGCTGCCCACTTCTTGTTTTCAGTGTCACCTGAAAGTGAGAACGAGCGTTCGCATGGCACTGTTGCAGCCAGCGTTGCAAGATATTTACGTGTCAGATGCACTAAGATTCATATGTCCCTTCGTGCTTCAACCACCATTCCAGAGGACATGCGTCCATGCTGATGATGGGTTCTGCTCAATAATGATCCAAAGCAGTGCAGATGAATGCATATTCATTTTCATCATCTGAGTCAGATGCCACCAGCAGAAGGCTGATTTTCATTTTTGGTGGTTCGAGTTTCCACATCAGAGTATTGCTCTTTTAAGACTTCTGAAAGCATGCTCCACATCCCGTCCCGATCAGATTTTGGAAATCACTTCAGATTCTTAAATCTTGTGTCGAGTACTGTAGCTAGCTTTAGAAATCTCACATTGGTACCTTCTTTGCGTTTTGTCAAATCTGCAGTGAAAGTGTTCTTAAAATGAACGTGTGCTGGGTCATCATCCAAGACTGCTATAACATGAAATATATGGCAGAAAGTGGGTAAAACCATGGAGCGGGAGACATACAATTCTCCCTCAAGTACTTCAGTCACAAATTTAATTAACAAATTATTTTTTTAATGAGCGTCATCAGCATGAAAGCATGTCCTCTGGAATAGTGACCAAAGCATGAAGGGGCATACGAATGTTTAGCATATCTGACATGTAAATACCTTGCAATGCTGACTACAGAAGTACCATGCCAACATCTGTTCTCACTTTCAGGTGACATAAATAAGAAGCGGGCAGCTTTATCTCCCATAAACGTAAACAAACCTTGTTTTTCTGAGCGACTGGCTGAACAAGTAGGAGGACTGAGTGGACTTGTAGGCTTTAAAGTGTTACATTGTTTTATTTTTGAATGCAGTTTTTTGTACATAATTTATGTAAGTTCAACTTTCATGATAAAGAGATTGCACTACAGTACTTGTATTAGGTGAACTGAAAAATACTCTTATTTGTATAGTGCAAATATTTATAAAAAATATAAAGTGAGCACGGTACACTTTGTATTTTGTTGTAATTGAAATATATTTGAAAATGTGTAAAACATCCAAAAAATTTATATAAATAGTATTCTATTATCAACAGCATGATTTATCAGGATTAATTTTTTTATTCGCTTGACAGCCCTAATACTGTTGTCAGAACTAATCTGAAAAGAGAAGCATTAAAAACCCAGCAGCACTGAAAAACAAGATTACAGTGAGCAAATATCAACAGAATATTTAAGAATACACACATGTATTTAAATAAAAAGGCTAGTTGCAATTATTTATAATAATGAATTACATAAGATTCAGGTTTTTAAAAAATTTTAATTAGATATTGTGGGATTTATTTTTCACACAATTGTGCATGCATATATGATGGAACAATTGAACAGACATAAAGGAGAGCTTTAGGATGTAAAATTAATCCTACAGTTGGACACAATATTAATAGAGTGCATTAGCTTGGTGACAACATTGCAGCAACACAGGGTGAGACCAGCGGACTCAGTGCATTGAGATCTGAGCTGGTTTTACAGGAGAAAGAATGAGTATTTCAGCAGTGACTATTCTCATTTTTTGTAGTAAAACAAGAAAAATAATCTTATTTTGGGTACTAATAAGTATGCAAAGTTATACACCATAAAAATGTTTATAGTTGTATTTCAATACATAATGTATTTAATGAAGCCACTGGTTTTATACACTGAAATTAAATATGAATCAGTGTCTTTACTTTTTAGAAACATCTGTAGACGGTCCTGACTGTAGACCAGTGATTCTCAAACTTTTAATTTATAAGGGGGAGAGGGGTAATACAAAAGCACTTTGTTATATAACACCATTATAAATGCTGGAGGCAAAGCGGGGTTTGGGGTGGAGGCTAACACCTCACGAACCCCCGTGCAATAACCACACGATCCCCTGAGGGGTCCCGACCTCCAGTTTGAGAGCCCCTGCTGTAGACCAAGTTTTGATTTCCTGTCAATGTGGCTGTGTGGATTAAATGGAGAATGAGATCTAGATCCAATTTTATATTTTACTTATTTATTTTACAGACTAGTAGCATTCCACCTTTTTCTACATGGTAGGGCAACAGGACATGGACTTTTCTTCAGCCATAATGCCCTACAAGGGAATTCTGTGCCAAAAAAATAAGAATTCTGTGCATAATATTTTAAAATTCTGCAAATTTCTGCATATTTTATTTGTCAAAATAACACCGTATAATTATGCCAGTTTCAATTATTTTGGTAATTTACTTCAAAATATCTGTTAGCAACAATACAGACAACAAAAAGATTCCCCCCCAGGAATAGAGAGTTAAAGAAATCCATACGACAACCCTGTTTCTCTGCCTCGTTCCCCCCAGAATCTAGCTGCGGGGCCAGACACCTACACCCCCTTCCCCCAGAGACCAGCCATGCCCCCAGCCCAGACACCCATACCCCCTCCCCTCCTGACTCAGACACCTGCACCCTCTTCTCCCAGAGCCCAGCCGTGGGCCCCCTTCAGACACCTGCACCCCCGCCCCCCCAGCCGCAGGGTCAGACACCCACACCTTCTCCCCCCCACCCCGAGAGCCCAGCAGTGGGGCCCCTACTGCCCAGACACCTGCATCCCCTTTCCCAAGAGCCAGCCTCCCCACCCGCCCCGACACCTGCACCCCCTCCACCACAGAGTCCAGCTGCAAGGTCAGACACCTGCACCCACTCCCTGCCAGAGCCCAACCATGGCCCTGCCCCCAGCCCAGACACGTGCACCTTCTCCCCGCCAGAGCCCAGCTGTGGGGGCCCCGACTCAGACACCCACACCCTCTTCTCCCAGAGCCCAGCTGCAGGGCACCCCCTCCCCAACAGAGCTCAGCCATGCCTTACCCCAGCCCAGACACCTGCACTCCCTCCTGACCAGAGCCCAGCCGTGGGCCCCCCAGCTCAGACACCTGCGCCCACTCCCTCCCAGAACCCAGGTCCAGGGCATCCCACAGTCCTGACACCCACACCCCCTACCCAACAGAGCCATTAGCTAAGATTTTTGGGGATTTTCAGTTATAAGGAGGTACCGAAGATAGAAAACAGGCTGGATGTAAACCAAGAGGCTCTCAACTACAGATCGCCCCTGTGTATGTATTACCTACAGTACAACCTCAGAGTTACGAACACTAGAGTTACAAACTGACCAGTTAACCATACACCTCATTTGGAATTGGAAGTATGCAATCATATCAGGCAGCAGCAGCAGCAAAAACAAAAAAAAATACTGTACAGTATTAAACGTAAGTTACTAAAAAAAAAAAAAGGAAAAGCAGCATTTTTTTTCTGCATAGTGAAGTTTCAAAGCTATACAAAGCCAATGTTCAGTTGTAAACTTTTGAAAGAACCATAATATTTTATTCAGAGTTATGAACAACCTCAATTTCTGAGGTGTTTGTAACGCTGAAGTTCTACTGTATTGTAAATGAATCTGATAGTTAATAGCACTCACCTCATTAATCTTTACATTTAGTGTGACAATTCATTAACACAAGTTCATTAAAAAAATCTACACTCTAGGAAAACATTTTGAAATGAACCAAATAATACTACTCAAGGATTAATCACGTTTAAACATAAAGAGTGCGATATCTGACTTATCAACAGAGACCTGTCGCAATGAAGGCACATACTAATGCAGAGAGAGCAGCCTCTGCTACTACCAAATATTATGCACAGAATAACTGATTTAAAACAAACATTATAAAAATTAACCAAAAAACATTTTCAGATCTGTCTCTAAAAACAGACCACCACAAATGAGACTACTGAAATATATTAATTACCTGGATGACAGAATAATACCAGGAAAGTGGAAAATCAAATAACCGTAAAGCTGCTGTCCTCAAAGAAAAGTGTGTCTCACTAACAGCTTCTTCCGACATGGCTCCTTCTCTCCCATTACCTCATTAAGTAAAACTACCTCGAAAACATTTTAGTCACACATGGTATCTCAGAGTCTGCCAAATGAAAATTACATGTTAAATTATATATCACAAGCATATACATAGTTTTCTTCTGAAAACTTCCAACAACCTTACATTATAGGATACATATTTATTTTGAGTAATGTTTATATGAAGGGGTGAAACTAGTGTTCTCAGGAGCAACTACCAAGAATAGGGTGAAAAACTGAAATAAAATTAGGCCCAAATACTTTTAACTGCTCTGTGGAGAAAGCTCCCCATATTCAATCATGGGGATCCACACATGGAACAGCTTGCAAGATAGAGACTTTAGTTCTTTTATTATGCATAACCCCCATACCGAATTTACTTCTGCAAGTCATGATCTCTGTTTTTTAGGAAACAAAATCTGCTGCTAAAAGAATTTGGAAATCTTAAAATTGAATAATCAGTGACCACAGAGTTAAAGCACTTGAAGTATCTTCTCTCCCCTTTAAGGTATGAATCTCCTACAATCACACAACGGTGAATAATGTGGCTGCTCAAAGTTCCTGCAGTTTCATTTCTTAAAGGGAATTTCACTACTTACCCTCAATCAAGCCAGATACAAAGTAAAAAAAGTACAAAGCCAGAAGGGCCACACAGACAGGCTGCAGGGTCAGTTGTAGAGACAGGCCATTTGGTACCTGTCAAGTAGTTCATCATATGGCAGGGGTGACCCTCTGAGCAGCATAAGACAATATTCAGAAGTTTGAGAGCAAGGATACAACTGCCGGGGCTCAGGGTTTTTGCCCCGCTTCTACTGAAGCCCCGACACCTGGCAGATGTGCCCAGCAGGGCTGAAGCCCCAAATCCCCACTGCATGCTGGGCAGAAGCTAGAGGTGATGCATCGGGGAAGGGCATAGGCGGATCACATGACCTCCCAGATTTTTGCCAGGGTTTGCTGGACCCACTCAGTCACATGGTGCTGCCAGGCCTCCTCCCTGCAGGGCAGCTGCTGGAGCTGGAGAGTTGTGCCCATGGGGAAAGGCAGCAGCAAACAGCTGGGAACAGGAGGGGGAAAGCCCCTGGCTCTCTCTGTAGAGCTAAAATAGAAAGGCCTCTCCGTGCAGCTCCGACTGTTTGCCATTGTCTCTCCACAGAGCTAACACTTGGGAGCTGCAGGGAGGGGCCATTGAGGATAAGAGAGGAAGCATGCCTGGTGTGACCTGACTGAAGCGGGGGGTGGGGAGAGAGAAGTTGAACCTTTAAATTGTGCCCCAGCCAGCACCAGTTATTTCTGGCAGAAGCCCCCCTGTCCCCACCACGGGGCGGAAGCCCTGAGCTCCCCCCACCCACAATCTGATAGGCAGAGAATGGGGGCGATAGAGGAGGGAATCCACGAGCCACACTTTAATGGTAAAAAAGCTACGTGTAGCCCAGGAGCTGCAGTTTGGCCACCCCATCACAGGGTGAAAGGCAGAGAAATTTCTCCCCATCCTAAACTATCCACCTACCCTGCACTCGGTCTCCGCGATGTTCCTGGGGAAGGAGCGTCCTTTCCCCTCTCTGCCGGCCCCACCTCCGAGGCGCTGTGAACAGAGCACCCTTGTGCCCGCCTCCGGCGGCTAGCGCTAGCTAATCTCCGCAGCCTGCCGCTGGGGCGGGAGACACACCTGCCCCGGGGTGCTGGGAGCTGCCTCAATCTTCCGGGCCGGGGGCTCACAGGGCCCCTCGCTTAGCACCCGTCGTGCCACCGGGACACTCACCGCGCAGTGTTCGCGCTGCACGGGTTCGCGCCCCCCGAGGACAGGGCGGGAGCCGCCCTTACCCGGTCAGGAGCAGGACCCGCGCCGAGAAATGGCCGCAGCCAGCTCAGGGGCGAACACACAACACCCCCTCACCCCCCATGCGCAAACAGAGGCTCGCTCGCTCTCCCCCCGGCGGTGCCCCACCCAGGCCGCGCTGCAGGGCTCCGGCCGACGCCCCAAGTTACCTGCCGGCGGTAAGAACTGCAGCCAGTGCCCTGCCCCAGCAGCGCCCTCACCGCACCGCCGGCTGCTAGGAGACGGACAGGAGATCTACTTCCGGTGCCAAAAAAAAAAGAAACACGGGAGGGAAGGAGTCGCCATCTACTTCACGTGACTAATACAGTGTAAGAGTCAGTCATCGTCATCTTCGTGCGACCCCCAAGCCCCGCCATCTTTGTGCGGGGAGAAGCTGTCCGAATGTGTGCGATACGCCCAGCCCCGCCATCTTTGTGCGGGGCGAAGCTGTCCGAATGTGTGCGATACGCCCAGCTCCGCCATCTTTGTGCGGGGCGAAGCGATCCGAATGTGAGCGATACGCCCAGCCCCGCCATCTTTGTGCGGGGCGAAGCTGTCCGAATGTGTGCGATACGCCCAGCCCCGCCATCTTTGTGCGGGGCGAAGCGATCCGAATGTGAGCGATACACCCAGCCCCGCCATCTTTGTGCGGGGCGAAGCTGTCCGAATGTGTGCGATACGCCCAGCTCCGCCATCTTTGTGCGGGGCGAAGCCATCCGAATGTGAGCGATACACCCAGCCCCGCCATCTTTGTGCGGGGCGACGCTGTCCGAATGTGTGCGATACGCCCAGCTCCGCCATCTTTGTGCGGGGCGAAGCGATCCGAATGTGAGCGATACACCCAGCCCCGCCATCTTTGTGCGGGGCGACGCTGTCCGAATGTGTGCGATGCACCCAGCCCCGCCATCTTTGTGCGGGGCGACGCTGTCCGAATGTGTGCGAAAGATACAACCAAGCACCGCCATCTTTGTGAGGGGCGCACGTCATCGTCCGGGGCAGACTTGCTGCTACAGCAGGCAGGCGAAGCGGGCAGTAAGGAGCGGAAGGAACCGCCGCTGCGGGCAGCGAGGGACAAGCGAAGTCCGTGTGAGCTGGGCACCGCGCACTAGGTAAGGCCGCCGCGCAGCGAGTCCTCGGCCCGGACGCCCCTTCCTTCCCCCTGCAGCAACCTCCGCACGTCGCCTGCCGCCTCGTCTGGGCGCTGGGTCCTCCCTGCGGAGACCTCTCCCTGGGGGCTCCTTCCCTGAGGCGGGCGGGCCCTGCCCCTCGCGCCTGGGCTCTGACACTGCCGCCTCCTCCTCCAGTCCCCCGCGCTGCCTCGGGCCCGGCACCGTCCCCCTTCGGACCCGCCCTCCCGGTGCGCGGCCGCCTCCTTGCGCCCCCGGTGTCCCGGCCCCTCCTAGGCAGCGGTCATGTGGCGCCTGTTCCCGGTCACGGCCACTCCGCGAGCCGGCGGTGCTGGGGGCTGCTTATTCTGTAACTAACGAGCGGCGCTGCGGGAGCCGGCAGGAGGGAGCGTGGTCGAGAGGCCAGCAGCAGGTCGCCGCTATGCAGGTTTGCCCTGGGTTGCGCTGTGTAATGGGCCTGCCCGCGGCTGGTGTCTGGAGGGGTCTGCTCGGCGCTGCTGCCCGCGCAGAGCCGCACGCGTTGCTGCAGCATCAGCCACTGGGCCGCCTGAGCGAAGAGGGGTCCGCGGAGTGTGGGTGCTCTGCTGGCAACAGCTGGCTGAGACCATCAAGTCTCCCCAAGCGGAGTTTCCCTCATTCAATAAAGCTGTCATTTAACAAGCGGGTATGATGTTAATACTTTCGTAGCCCTGAGATTCGGGGTGTGAGGCACATAGACATGTGGCAGTATTTGCCGGGGTTTTACATTTATTTTACTGTGGTGATAGCTAAGGAGCATGGAGACAAACTTCAGAAAGAGCTAATCAAATGAAGGGATAGGACAGCATGATTGCCCATAAAATGAAACCTAGACACATTTCTCTTGTTCCTATAATGCTTGTAAATGTAAGCAGTGCTGTGCAATAGGTAAAATGTGCCAGATACTGCAGTATAATGTATATTGTGAAAATCAGTCTAAACTTCTACGTGATGATGGGCTCCGAGCTAGCAGAATCCTCATAGAATTAGGGTGTACAGTTCCCTATGCTGTGTTAGTGGAATTTTTAATTAAAACAAAAAAGTAAATGAGTTGTTTGGATGTATCAAAATAGGATGGAAAATTAAACACAAATGACCTTATATCTAAAGAGTATACTCTCATTTTGAGTGTGGTTTTATTTTGAGTTTCCTTTTATTCAGAGAGCACAGGAATTACAAGAACAAAGAATAGTGAAAATGGTTTGCCTGTAAAAATACTACTTGCCTAGGGTGAGTTTTGCATCTCAGAGCAGGGACAATACTGTATTTTCTTCTGTTCTTCTCAGTGTTATCTCTGAACATGCTATTGGCAGTTGACAACAATATGGCAGTGTTTCATAATAAGTGTAGAAAAGCCGATTTTGTGTTTGGGCTGATAAAGCATTGTCGATATTCTAAGGATAGAGTAGATGTATTGATGGGGTTTACATAAAATGAAGTGGTGGGAGATTATCCTTTAATTTACCAATCGACTAAAGATGCTTTACATTCTTCTTCCCAGGAGTAAAGTGACATAGAAGCCATGTTCCTTTTGTCACATCTCTTAATGTAGGAACAAAGATACACAAAGAATAGCTTTTTACATTTATTTCGAGTTTTGAGCAATTTATAGTCAACATGAAGAAATTACTGCTGTAGGAGATCAAGACACACTGTAACAGGATTTTTGAAAAGACTGGGTAGTTTTGTGAGCATTTATCGTGTATATATACACATACACACACATACACACAGAGCTATTTGATAGAAAAAATCTACAAATTAATTAATTGAATACGTAAAGAAATCTGAAGCTTATTTGGGCATGTACTTTGCAATACTGTGAATTGAATGCAGTGTTGTTTTTTTTTAATGTACAAGTGGTGGCATAACAGTTGCTGAAAGACCAATAACTTTGGGTTTCTTGACTTTTGTGTATTTAAATCTTCAGGTATAATGTTGCACGAACAGCAGTGTAGCCATATTTCTTTTATTGAAAAAAATGAAATAAATGCACTTGAATGTGTGGTTATTGAAGTTAACACAGGTGCAAATGAAGACCCTGATCCTAAAACTTGATCTGCGCAGGCAAACCCTTATGTCATCATGGAGCCAGTTGCAGAATTAGAGCCAAATTTGATCCACATTTATTTCTGCCCAAAGTTCAAAGTGATGGTCTTTGGGTGTTTTTTAAATCATTTCAATTCTTATTAGTGGTCAATTTTATTTTTAGTTACTTACATAACATAATTAAATTTCCATGACTGGCATGTAATACCGTATAAGGCAATCACTATCTTTATTGATTAACTTTTCTGAATGTTGTATTTTTAATAAACAGTCTTAACTTAAACGGCATTTCTATTTGTGCCAAGACTAAGACTTTGTTTCCTCGTGATTTTATTTCTGTATGTTTAATCATGATGAACATGAATTCTTTCAGAATGCTACGAAACTTATTTGGATCTGTTAATTGTATATAGTATATATTAGCAATCAGGAAAAAATCCTATGAAATCACTGGTAAAATAGCTGTATATTTTAAGGACTTCAACATAATGAAGGAAGTGGGATGTGTGTATTTATTTGTACATTCCAGTACACTATAGAATTTCTATAGTTGAGGTAGATGAACAATTGCTTACGTTAAATACTTTATATGATTTTGCTTTAATATATCGTGACGCTATCTAAATCTAAGTGGAAATGGGGTGTAAGCTTCAGGGTCTGTGCATGAGCCTGTCAGATCCTTTTGGTGCTATCTGAATTGTCTATCTCAATGTTTGAGGGGTTAGGGACCCTTTTCAATTACAGGACTTTTATGGATGAGGTAGTTCTTCAGTGTTAAGCATTATGCAAGTCTATGGTGCTGTGGAATTATAAGTAGTAAATGGAGAAAGAGGTTGCCTAACATGAAGATTTAAGATGCCATTCACATTGCTCTAATTGTCAGATCTGCTCAGCATGAAAAAGCATTATATAACATATTTTGATTTTTAAGATGAGCCTAACAGTGTCAATACCTTACTTCTGTAGGACCACAATTGTACATGGTGCTATACATGGTCACTTACTTATTTAGCACATTTTCATTTACTGTGTAACAGGTCCATATCTTGAAAAGCAAACGCATGATTGGTTCAGTGACCGTATGGTACAATATACAAGAACATAAGAATATCCATACTGGGTCAGTGCTGCGGTCCATCTAACCCAGTATCCTATCTTCTGAAAGTGTCCAGTGCCAGGTGCTTCAGAGGGAATGAACAGGACAGGGTAATTATGAGTGATCCATCCTCTGTCATCCAGTCCCAGCTTCTGGCAGTTGGAGGTTTAGGGACATTGTAGCATGGGATTGTTCACTGGACAATCTTGGCTAATAGCCATAGAGATCAGTACTTGATAGAATAAACATCCTGATAGAAGCTTTTGGGAAGATAACCGAGGGAAGTAGCTCATTAACTGGAAGTGTTTTTCTAAGTGAACAGTAGCCACTGGAGAGGCACTATGGTCTAGTGGGTAGAGCAGTGAACTAGGTATGAGGAGACTTGTGTTCTGTTCCCAACTCTGCTACTGTCTTATTGTGTGACTTTTGGGCAAGTTCATAGAATCATAGAACTGGAAGGGACCTCGAGACATCATCTAGTCCAGTCCCCTGCACTTGTGGAAGGACTAATTATCTTGACCATTCCTGACAAGTGTGTGTCTAACCTGCTCTTAAAAATCTCCAGTGATGGAGATTCCACAACCTCCGTACACAATGTATTCCAGGGTTTAACCACCCTTTTTTCCTAATGTCCAACCTAAACCTCCCTTGCTGCAATTTAAGACCATTGCTTCTTGTCCTATCCTCAGAGGTCAAAAAGAAAAAAATTTCTCCCTCCTCCTTGTAACAACCTTTT